AAACACATTGAGACCACTGGGCTGCAGGGTTCCCAAGCGAAACACATCGAGACCACTGGGCTGCAGGGTTCCCAAGCGAAAGCCTCATTTATTCCTCACATTTCACTGCATTATAATGCTAAAAAGAAGTGAGATGCTAGAAAAATGCATGGTAAGGAACAAAAAGGGGGAAAAACAAAACACTTTACACTAGCTACCAAGACAACGAACCTCTTCTGGGTCCCAGTTACGAGCTTTGCCAATCTAAAGGGATGATCACTTTATTGGGGTTGAACTGTAAGTCCAGCATTGGTCTGCATCAAATTTGTGAGATCGCACATATCTGTAAGAATGATAGGGCGGTTATGGTGGGGGATTTTAACATTTCCAGACATAGACCGGGACTGCCGTAGTGTTAAGGGAGAGGAATTTGTTAAATGTGTACTAGAAAATTTTCTTATTCAGTATGTAGGTGAACCTACTAGAGAAGGAGCAAAATATGACCTTCTCTTGGGAAATAAGGCAGGGCAGGTGACTGAGGTATCAGTAGGGGAGCACTTTGAGGCCAGTGACCATAATTCAACTCTTTTTAAAATAATGATGGAATATGGTAGACCTGATCTAAAAACTAAAGTTCTAAATTGGAGTAAGGCCAAGTTTGGACGGTATTAGATCAAGAAGTTTCAAAGGTTGATTGGGAGAGGCTATTTGCTGGTACAGGGGCAGTTGGAAAATGGGAGGTCTTCAAAAATGAGACGAAGGAAACCAGAGACGGTGTGTTCCTGTTGGTGTGAAGGGCAAGGCTGGTAGGTGTCTTGAGACTTGAGAAACTGTAGAGACAGTAAGAACTGCAGATGCTGGAGTCAGAGATAATGCAGTGTGGAGCTGGAGGAACACAGCAGGCCAGGCAGCATCAAAGGAACAGGAATGTTAAACTCCATCTGCCAGTCTCGGCCCATCGGCCCATCTGATCAAGGTCCTGCTGTACTCTGAGGTAACCTTCCTCACTGCCCACTACAACCTCCAATTTTGGTGTCATCTGCAAACTTACTAACCATCCCTCCTGTGTTCACATCCAAATCGTTTATATAAATGAGAAAAAACAGTAGACCCAGCACCGATCCTTGTGGCACACCGCTGGTCACAGGCCTCCAGTCTGAAAAGCAACCCTCTCCCATGTGTTTAAATGCAATTCTGCAAAGGATGATGCATTTGGATCTTTGAAAGAGGCTGGGCGATTATGCGTATACCGTCACTTCTCTTTTCCTGATGGTCATACTGTGACTTTCCCTTCCGATTACATATCTACTTCCAACGCTGCATAGTATGCCTGAGTGAGTTTCCAGCTCCCCTTTGCAAAACAGGTTACAGTTACCCAATCTTGAAAGCAATTTTCCTCATTCTCCAACTCAGCCTTCTCCCAATTCCCATCAGTATGTCTCTACAGGTGACTGACCTTCCCTCAAACTCAAACATTTCTTGGAAGCAACCTCGAGATTTACCCCAAGTACTCTGGCGCCAATAACTACCCCTCGACCACACCAGCCAATACTTTGTTGCTAACTTTAGAGGCTGGCTGCAGGCAAATTATCTTTATAATTTATATTTATGCTTTATCTCTCCCGTTAAAACAGTGACAGCGCTCAATAGTCATCTGCCCAACACTCTGAGCCATCCTGCAGTTCTGGAAGGTGCTGTCAGCTATTTCTTTTAATCCTGCACCTTTCCTGATCTGTCCCCTTCTCAGCAGCTCACTCTGCTCTTCTCTCTGTCTCTCCCTTTTTTATTGCTTCTATCTATCTGTCCATCTCTATCTCGCTGCTACTATCTGTTCATTTTCTCTGTCTGACCTCTCTCGTCCTCTGCTTTCTCCCTCCTGAATATTTCCCACAGTCTCTCCTTTTCTGTTTCTCAATTAGTTTCCCTGGCTCTATTTTCCCTATTTGTATGTATCACCATCTGCAAACAGTCCTTCAACCTTCCATCTTCATACCATTGCTGCTGCATCAATGTTGGGGTTGGGTAGCACAGTTGGCTGGGTGGTTGGATTGCAATGCAGAATGATACCAACAATGAAGGTTCAATTCCTGTACCAGTCAAGATAAAGACCATAAGAGATAGGATGAAGAGTAGACCATAGGCCCCTCAAATCTGCCCTGATATCCAACAGGAACATGGCTGTTCCAACATTCCTCACATCTATTTTCCTGCCCTTTCCCTTGACTCCCTGACTGATCAAGAATCTATCTATCTCAGCCTTAAATATACACAAGGATTCTGGCCCCACAGCTCTCTGTGGCATGGAGTTCCAAATATTCACAACCCTCTGAGAGATGAAATCTCAAATGAGGAGGCTCATCTCAGTCTTAGATTGGAGTTCCTTTATTCTGAGACTTTGGTCCTTGATTCCCCACATAAGGGGGAATATCCTCTCAGCATTTACCCTGTCGAGCCCCTTAAGAAACCGATATATCTCACGTGAGATCACCTTTCATTCTTCTAAACTCCCCACTTTTGCTTGTACGACAATCCCTCCCATACC